TATATGGCTCGAACGTTTCGGACTACAATTAATCCATCTGTAGCAGAGTATGAAAACAAGTTGTATCAAGTATAAACAATGTTGTTTTTTAGCGGAGATCTATAGAATGGGCTCTCTTTTGTCCTGTACACAGCAGGGAATCCAACCACGTATTTACTATCGTCTTCATTTTTATAATTAAGACTTCATTTCCCTCTTTCTAGGGCACTCGACTTGCAATCTGAGGGTCACGGGTTCGAATCCCCGTCACACCAAACATGCTCGCCCTTTCAGCCGTGGGGGCGTTATAATGTGACGGTCAATCCCACTATTCGTTGGTAAAAGAGTAGCCCAATAGTTGGCGGTGGGTGGTGATGACTAGTTGCCTTCCTTCTAGTCTTAAACTGCTAAATTAGGGACGGCTAGCGCAAATAGCCTTCGTGTAGTTTTACTCGAAATTCATAAACAATCCTCTTTCTAAATCTGTTGTTAATTGGTAGTCATAACATACCATATAAAAACTTTTCCAGAAAGAATTCTCAGATACTTCGTATTCTACGTAATGAACATCCCGTGTTCCATTCACAACTGCTTAGATATTTCACGTCACTCTTTATTTAAACCACACATATTTTTATTGTTAAAAACAGTACAAATATGGCCTAATAATAGGATAAAAAATTACACTATAGAACAGGAGTTTTTTTATTATTAATAATTCCTTTGAGAATCGTTTAAAATAGTGTTTTAAACATAAGTTTCTCTGCAAAACTCTAGTACTCAGGAGGCCTTTCATTCAATACCATAACTCGTCAGCCAGACCGGACATACTCTTCAAATTGTTATTTTTGTATTGTGTATAAGACATTAGTTTCGAAAGCAAAAAGCCAGCGAACCAACGTAACTAGGCCATGATAAGTGTTAAAAAATCACGCACACGTGTGTGTGTATATATATATAGGGAGGTGGGGGGGACAATTTTTAGATTTTTAAATACTTATTTTCGCATACAATCTTTTGAAGCATGTTTATAAAATTAAAAGAATTTAAAATGTTCAGCCCCTTTGTGATAAGCATATTTTTTGTAAACTTTTAAATCTTAAATAGTGTGGACTGAATTCTAAGAATTAGGAGAGCTTAGCACCACTCATATTTAAACATAAATTATGCAAGTTGTATTAAAACTGCGTGTTTTTCGTTGTTTTCTTCCGCGTGTATTAAACGCGAATGCAGTTGATTTTTTTTTTTTTGCACTTTCTTTTTATTTGAATTATTTATGAAGAACACCGTATATTGCCATCTGTTGGAAAGTGAAATTATTATTGGATATTAAATAATAGCTACTATTGAAATCGTGATTTCATGTTATACATTAAACTTAATCATCAAAAATTAGACATCCCATTCCATATTTCTGTTAAGTTGCCGACTAGTGCAGATTTATTCAGCCAAACCAATGGTGTGGCTTACACGCGTGCATTCATTTCAGAATATTTGAAAATATTTGGCTAAATTTTTTATCAAGATATTTATTTTTCATCTAATCAACTCGTTGATTTTCAACAAAACCTGATAACTCTGATAATCAAGCTTTCAAAACGTTCGTATTTCTTACTAGTATTGAAAGTTTTATTTGTATGTTTTTTTATTCCCTGTTTGTATTGTGTGATTTATTAACGTTATATGAATAGACACCAGACACAAAAGCCGTAAGTTAAGTACATTTATTCTCATAACCTGAAACTCTCCTGTACATACCTGCAATTGTCCATCATTTGAACTTAACATACTAACATGGACCAAAGCACT